TTGCAAAAATTTACATCTACCCTTTTTGTCGTTTAAAACACTTCAGAAAGAGTTCCACTGCGACTACGAGATGTGACAAAAATACCGAAAGGCACTAAATATTAGGGTTGGAGTATGTAAAATATTTGATTATTTTGTAAATATAAATCATATATGTCTGTAAATATGAATCATATATGTCTCTGGGTGTTTTTATTTGACGCATACACTATGTACATTAAGTTGAGATCCATCTTGTCTCTCCATATAAAAAGAAAAGTTGGTAGCATTGGTATTTATTCAGTATCTATCCGCCAAACGGAAAAGAGCCAATCAGAACAAGCCAATCAGAATGAGACGGACACCTTCTTCGGATCTATAACAATTACTTTCATTTTCAGCTTGAGAGGATTCTGATTTCCTTAGGACTGTCATTTGCGTTCGGTTCCATCTTCATGAAGGCGTACCGAATACACGCCATATTCAGTCGTGCAGTGAAGAAGTTCGAACGAATTGTGAGTAAAGTTTGGGAAAGGGCGATTTTTTATTTATATATATATTTGTCTCCAAACTATTCTTATCTTTCTCAGGAAGATTATTCAGTTTGGCCTATGATGGAGGGAGGGGTGTGCTCTAAATCAGCAAACACGAGGCCGTAGGTGTGATTATTTTCAATTCCCGACGCGACAAGCTGTCCGTTGGTTACTTTTTTTACCTGTCGCATTTATCCGCAGGATTTACCCGATTGGAAGCTCATGACTGGAGTTTTGACGGTTGTGCTTGTGGATTTCATCATCTTTGCCGTTTGGATTGTCATGGATACGACTACTGTTACCAGTCGATACTTGGAGCCCCAGGTTGGTGCATATAGCACGTCTGTGGGTATTGTAGCCTTTCGTAGAGTGCCAATTGTCATCCTTGGTTTAGAAGCTAATTCATTAAAGTCCACTCCCATACACGGCTCTTAGAATGGGCAATTTCGTCCAGATCCCGACCAACATGGCTCTTTTCGAAGCTCACAGCTGATAGCCATACAAAGCCGCAATGTATTTTTAAAAATAATTGTTTACTTTGCTTTATCCATGCTTTCCACACAGCTTGATACAACTGAGCCCGAGAAGGAGATTTTCGACGTTCCTGTGATAAGGTATTGCAGCAGTGAGGATGCTCAGTACTTTACTATCGCCCTCTACGGCGTGAAGGGAGTCCTGTTGACCTTCGGTATTTTCTTGGCCTGGGAGACAAGAAACATTGCCGTGTCTCAGCTCAATGACAGTAAGAACGCAGAATTGAGTAGACCTCTGTTAAGTCCTGCATATTTTCTATTTAGGTCAATACTAATTGGACCCCCAAATTGCAAAGCAATGGATTAATGCACAATATATGCGTATCATTCACACAGACGTTTTGGTTTTACTCATTGATCACTAAAGACACCACGTTCCTGTTTTGATGGTAGGTAAATACATCGCTGCGTCAGTGTATGTCGTTGCTGTGACCTTAACCCTAACTGTCCCAGCAACGACTGCACTTGGGGATGACGTCAGTATGGCGTACCTTGTTCCCGGACTTGCTATTGTGATCGCCAATTCAACAGTGCTGGGCCTGAATTTCATTCCAAAGGTAAAGAGTTTTACCAATTCTATAGATAATCGAACGGTTAATCAATCACTACCTTTCAAACACCGATTGTGCTGTATGTGGGCAACAATCAAAAGAAAAACACGTGTATTTCTCATTTTGCGTGCACAGACACAGCCGGAAATACCCAAACATCAACAATGATATCCAAATGTGGACGGGACGAGTTCGGAATAGTTCGGCTACTTTCGGAAACTGGAGGAATTCCTCCGGTTTTGTTCACGTGAACATTGGGTGATACCGACGTTGAAAGTGTTCAAAATTCTTATTCGCAATATAGGTTTACCTCCTTGTAACGGCTGACGAGAAGACTATCAGTTTAAGCATGATGCAGTCCATGAGGTATAATGGGTCCTTGGCTGCACACACTTGCCAGTCATCTCTGGACAAGAAAAAGGTCACCGAGGAACTACGAGACATACTGAAGCAGGTACGATATTAAATATCAGTGACACTTTTTAAAGTTTGTCTTGGAGTTAACATCAGAACTTTAACAGTTTAAATTCTGAAATCTCTCAAAATAACACAAATACCGAACGTGTTCTCTGCAGCCACTGTAAACTATACCTTAAATTAGTCTATGTATCTGGAAATCATGACAAGGGTGCAACTCGAGATTCGATCTTCTGACAGATTTTGAGGGCATTCTTGAAATATAGCATTTCGGTAGACCAAATTTTGCCTTCACAAACGTAATAAGGCTTGTTATGATATAGTGCGAGTCTAATGCACTTAATCGAACTAAATGATATTTCGAATCATTTAGGGAGATCGTAAAGAAGTAGAGTTTCTCTTTTGAATTTTTTTAAGCACAGAAGAGAGAGAAGCTGCTACTGTTGGCCGAAGATGTTCCAACTGTAGACTCTGCTGACAGCATTTAAATGCAGTTCAGGAGATCAAGCTTTGATTGGTCTGCGTGTGCACCTTCTCCGCATATCAATCCCTTTCTAAATAAGTTTAGTTTAATGTTGTGGTAAAAGCCATTTTTGAGCAGTTTAATTGTGTTGATAAATTGTATTAATTGCTGTAATATCTGCACAAATAGCGAGTTGTAAGTTATTTTGTGTATTTGACGGTTGACAGAGAGCCACCAGCACTTTGTAGCTGCCACCAGGATAGAAAAGGTACAACAGCAAAAGGTCGACCTTAAGCTGGCAGTACGTAATTGGGGTCAACAGGAACTGCACGCCATTGAAAGCGAAAGATGGGGCATGTAGTGGCGTCAGCCTCCCGATGACGGGGAGGGGGGGTTAAGGGTACTCTCAGTATTTTTCAAAACTTTCCATCAGTTCATTCAAAGAACAAATCAAATTACTCAAAATGCCGTAACTAAGTGCACAGGTTGAGTTTTCATTTTCTTCTTTGTCAGATGATGCAACTCTTTTTCTAAGGTTTCTTTTCTCCCACCTCACGAAACACGGAAAAATGCTGACTAAAGCACCAGTCAAGGTTCAGCCTTGGGCACTGACTACCGTTAATGCGCAGGCATTAATACGTCACAGCAGTTCCACACATAAAGTTATGCATTAAACTACGGGGCTTAATAAAGTAGCCTACCAGTCAAAGTTCAGCACTGGACCTTGACTGTCGTTGGTGCACAGACATTACGTCACAGCAGTTTCACACACAAAGGTATGTATTAAATTACGAATACTGGGCAGTCGTGTCTTAGTGGTGTAGGCATATACATGTAGATCTTCGATACGAGACACACCTTCGGGATTTAAGACTAAATAAATATATATGACTATCACCTCACTCGCTAGTTGCTTGACTTGAACGTGAAATATTGTGCCCCAAAATGACCTTTCAATTCCGAAAATCTGGAATACATGATAACCAGTGCAACTCAGTGTTCTCGTACGCAGATGAAAAGTTATGAAACTTTAATATTTTAAGATTTTTACATAAAAGCTGAAGTACAAACTAAAAAATATTAGTTTAGCTGTTTACAGTTTCGAAAGAAATAAAAATTAAGGAAAAATCTGCATTTCCCCAGATTTGGAAGTTTGATTTGTTGAAAAGAACTGGGTTAGGTTAGCTCGACCGAATTTAGAACCCATCAATTTTTACCACATTACTTGAAGAGCACATTGGTAAAATTTCGAAATGATTGTTTTAGTTGGGAATCATTCTTCCAAAAACTATAAAATGTAATAGGGTGGTCCTCTGTAAAATCCCCATAGGCAAAGCGGAAGCTCATCACAAGTCCTTTCACTCTCAGGCTCGTATTACACGAAGGCAGCAAGCTCGGTTATAGTTTGTGTCCTGCCTCCATGGTTACAGCATGCAGAAATATGGTTATAGTGAGAGTGTTATCAAGCCTCTTGTTTTGCTGAAGTCTGGCTCCGTACTCAAAGTTGCAAAGGGCAAAGTGATATTATTTGTGTCTTGATAATTATAAGTTAAGTTTTACTTTGCTGATGCTCTGCTTTCCGTAAACTGTATATTATATACATACATACATGTCCATGCACTTCGCTCTTGAGGGAGTAACTGCATAGCAGCACAGTGCAGTCCTAGATCGACTGGTACTCAGAGTGTAGAAAATGTAGACTTGAAATCAAGTCGTTAGTCGGTCGTGTTTGTTGTCCATATGAGCCAACATGCTGCGTAGTTTTATTAGTGCTGAGCCGGGTGTTCACCGTTGCCCGCGATTCAGCGTGCCTCGATGGTTCCGGTTTGGCCTGGATACGACGCATGGTCATGGTGGGCTGTTCATTACCGGGTTTCGACGAACGTCGGCCCACCTATGACACCACTGTGCCCGCCTAACGACTTCATCAACCTGACTCTGGATGCGTTCGATTAGTTTCCCTGAATACACCAGTGTTACACGCAAGGGGAGCCTCATTATGAGGCTAATCGAACGCTGCAGCGTATTCGCCAAGGCATTCTGGGAAAAAGGTCAAGTCCCGCCACGTTCCATCATGCGAACAGTCAATCCGTGATGTCATTATACTTGGGCAGCCTCTAGAGAGACCCGCTCGCTAGCCGGGGTAGTGGTGGCTGACACCAGGGCAGGCACGAGGATCACGTGATGGCTAAACGAACGCTCTCGTGTAAGTTTAACTTACACGTGTAAGCTAATCGATTAGCTTCCCTGAATACACAGGTATTACACGCAAGGGAAGCCTCGAAATGAGGCTAATCGAACGCTGCAGTGTATTCACGAAGGCATTCTGGGAAAAAGGTCAAGGGTTATCACGACGCAGAAATTTTAAAGTGTAAAAACGTAAATACGTGTCCGAAGATGAAATGCCCGATAGAGAGCATGAAACTCCAAGAGATGATGGGGCCAGGCGGCTGAAAAGACTTCAGCTTGTTCATCAGATCAAAAATCAACAGGATATTAATTTGCATAAAGTCTAAATCCCTTTAACACATGGCACACTTAAACCCTAGTAACCGATGTTGAATTTGAGTCTATCACAAGTCCTTTCACAAATCCCTTACTCTAAGAAGTTATGGTTCAAATTTGTACCCCTATAATTGACACAACAGCAGCACCAATTGAAGTACAAATCTGACCACAGTATTTGGTGTATACTCCCCTGTAGGTGTGCATACTCCAACGTAGGGACACATACACCCAAACTGAAGTGCAATTGAAGTCTGCACCATTTACAATCAGTGCTGCTATTGTATCAATATGGGTGCATGTGAACCTTTGTTTCTTACAGTGTTCACAAGTTGAATCACGGGTCCCTTCACAAAGCCACTCGTAAGTCCCTTGAAGGCCAGTCATAAGTTACACTATAACAGGGTGTTATCGTCGCCGATAAGTTGTTTTCCTTGTAACGAATTTGGTGTAGTGTAATTTGCATTGTACAGTATCTCTAGTCCAGCTGGGTTCGACTTGTGCGAATTGTTGCCTTTGAAAGTTTTTTATGACTCGGTTAAATTTGCATACGATGTCAGGCCACACGGTTCTTACATTCCTTTATGTATTATTATTTATTGGTATGTAATTTGCAATGCAGATTAAGTCATGTGATCTTACTGAGTATATCAGTGCGGGAAATTCCAATTCGGGTCAGCCTTCCTTGAACGCCGTCGGAAGCTGAAGACACTCAGTTCACTTGCGTTTTTTCGTGTTTAAGATAGAAAATGTGCCATAATGTATATTTGAAATCACTGTGTAGTTATTTATACCTTTTCTTACGGGACTTGGGAAACTTAATGCAACACTGTCGTGTATATTTGTTCGTAATTTGAGTCGATATTTGGAAGAATTATCGTATTTTGCATGGGCGTATGCACCTATACGGAATTGTGTGTGTTTGTACATCTATTTACCAGTTGTGATATGTCATTTGTGACGTTTGTTTTCCTATACATGTAGTTGCTCGGTTTATTTTTGGATTTTCAGCACCAGAATACCGCTGTAAACCCTGAAACCTCCCGCTAGCCCGTTTACTTCAGCAGCCATCTTGAATACAATTCACTGCGTGTGTTCCTGGGGTGTCGATCCCGCATACGATTTGTAAGTTTGTCATTAAGCAAAAGTTGTACTGATACACGTGATAATGTGTGTGTACAACTGAGGGAGTACTTAATTTGATTTTGGGTTTTTGCCCTACCCGACGACGGACGTAAATTTTCAATATATGTTGGGTAGGCAAAAACCCTAAATTAAATAACACTGAATATTTCCATCTTTCACAGCTTTTTCTGGGAAAACGTTTAAATTGGATATGCTCAATATATTTGCAAATCCCAGTACTAGTGTGATAAGTTAACTTTTTTCTTTTTTCATAAAGGAATAAAATGTATGTTCAACTTTTAAATACAAACAAAAAGGTGTCGGTAACAAGGCATTGTACTTCTCCAAAAGTTTCTTACAAGATGTTTAAGATTTGTAAAAAGCATGTCAACAACACGACAGTAAATTTAGTTTGATATTGGACACTGGACATTTCCATGGGACTGTACAGCAAATGTCTGATTTTGGTCGATATTGGACATTCTTATTGGTTTGTAAAAAACAGTCATTTGCTGTACAATTCTATTAGAATGTCCACTGTGTCAAGAAAAATCAGACGTTTGCTGTAAAAACCAATGGGAATGTAAATGTCTAATATGAAACTAACTACTGTCCCATCAACAATAACTTTCAAAAAGATAACACAAGTCAAGCAACTGCAGGAGGAAAATGTCTTTCTTCGGTAGAAGTGCTGATAATAACATGAACAACATGCTTCTATCCTTACATTTTCTTAATAAGTTGTTGCATCAAGATTTTGTTGTCTTCATAGACAGATTTCATGAAAGAAAGGAATTGGTGATCCCTTTCTTCCATAGGCCTATAATCCATCATCTGACTTAACTTTTGATGCATCAAACCATGGATCCTGGTTTTCTTTTTTCTTGGTGTTAGTTTAGGCTCATTGGTTGATTCATCATCAGATGAGTTACCCAGGTTGTTCACTTCATTTAGTTTGCTGTCACACGTGTATACTGGCTTCACAGTGGGGTCACTTCCCATAAGGACCTGCATTTCTGTAGCCCATTTGATGAAGTGACTCGTTGAGTTGCCTCTGTCTTTTTCAAGCCTGGACATGGTTCCTGTAGGACCTCTTCAAACTTTCCACTTTGTCTTTGCACTTTTCAGCTGGTATGCCCATTTCTTGCTTCGAGACAGGTTTTTTAAATTAGACTCTTTGAGTTTCTCTTCAGACTCTTCAGACCTGGTCATTATGTCAAGGAGCTGACGGGTTTCACCATCCAACCATTCACGTCTGGTGCTGGATCCTAAATAATGAGAGAAATTATATGAGATGCAAATGTCATGAAATTTCCTAAAATTCACATTCATACGTTCAAAACAGCCAACCCGATGTGTGTTTTCCAATATACAGTGTATTAATAACAATGACGTTTTTTCAAGTATTCAGCCTTCGGGCATTTTTCCAGTAAATCTGCAGATTTTTTTAATACAATTTTATGAAAATAGTACATAACATACTGCACAGCACCATTTTCCCAAAGATAAGTCAGTCAAAAATGTATTAGTTTCTTCTAGCGTGCTCAATGCACATGAGCTGGCATGTATGGCCATGAATTCTCAAGGATCATAACAGGTGTGAGTTTAAATACCATATTCCAAAAACTGAGGCAGAGTTCTGGGGGATGAACCCCTCCCTCAGCTGGGAGATGGTCAAAAGGGCAAATTCTTTGCAAGTTCATGGGATATGCATACAACATTTGCATCATAACATGGACAAGCACTGAAATTGTTTTAAATACTCCTGTACATGTACCTATTTCTATGCATGAACCCTGGGCATGTTTCCTTTTGTTGCCACGGTTGAGCATGCTGGCGAATGGAGAGGTGAGACTGAAGGAAAAGAAAATAATAAAACAATCACTAAAGTCTTTAAAGGCCCCATTTTAGCATAATGAGCAGGGTCTACAAGGTGAACATTTGTATTTGTCTGAAGACAATCATTTTTATAACAATTTCTTGTATACTGAATCAACTTTCTTATATAAAAGTACTTTAACTGGAAACCCAGATTAATTGGGAAACTAAGGTTACCTCTTTAAAAGAGATAGTTGAAACTGTAGGCAAATTTCACCTTTAGAATGGCTCCTGGGTACTGTGGGTGCAGTGACCACTCATACTTTTTTGCTGGTTGACTCACAGAATGGCTCCTGGGTACTGTGG